AAAACACCCCAAAAAAATTTTACATTTTCATAATAAAATAAGTCAAAATGTCAGCATCATCCGATTTCAGCATCATCTCCGACATTAATTAATTTCAATCTAAATAAAATTTGTTAGTACAAATATTATATTAATGAATAAAAAATATAAATATCTATACTCAACAGTTCTTCAAAACTATTTTTAAAAAAGTGTTCATCGGCTCCCCTTAAATCTGGTTGTGTTATTTCTTCAATTTCATTATCCCAAATATTGTCTATCCAACTTTCAACTCTCTTAGGAGGGTCGAACTTAAAATTAAAATTAAAAAGCACATCAAAGCCTTTCTTAGCTTGTAGATAAGTATGCAGAGGAATTAGATATTTAATAGCATACCATGATTTAAGAGGATGATTAAGTTTTACCTTAATATTGTCACAAAAACGACTATGCATGTCTTCTTCTTTTTTCTGCCTTTTAATATATTCAACATTTTCTGACAAATTAAGAAATTGTTCTGTGCTTTTAAATCCAGAATTCTATTGACCCAAGTTATGCCAAAAAAAATTGACTTTCAAGTTTGACTAAGAAAAGGTAAACACAACATATTAATAAATAAATAAATATTTTGTTCATGCTTGACCTTAAGCAAAAGCTCATAATTAATAAGCCTTTATAATTAATAGGGAAATTAAGACCAAAGGAACTAGTTTTCTATGAAACCTTTAGCTCAATAACTCTACCTATATTCCGAGATGGAAAGAAATTCTATTTTCTTCCCATCATGGCATGCATAATATATTAATATTTAATCATTGCTTGAATTTTCTAATATTAAGGCATATATCACATATATCTTTGGTTCTTTAAATATATTCTTTTCTCTAACAGCTTGTTCTAATAATTTGTCGGCGATTTTTGATGTCCATATATCTTTAGCACCTTGTTCATACCAACAAATGGTATTTTTTGGTATCAAAATTAATTTTAAAGACTCTTTATCATATAGTTTAACGAAAAATTGGATGAATTGATGTAGGTTACAACTGAATACTGATGTATATATAAAAAAAGACTGAGAAATATATATAATTAAAAAACCATACTATAATAATAATTATTTAACCAAGATTAATATACTATAAATTTTTTTAAAGGCAAATTCTCTACGGGTGTTCCAGAATCAAATAATTTAGGATTAAGTTCAATTTTGAATGATGTATCCTTTAGAGAAAAAAAATTAAAAAAGATAAATGAATAAAAATAATTTAACTATAATTGTTTTATTCACTAGTTTATTATTGCTTTTAAAGTTGTTTTTATCATTATATTGAACATAAACCCAAGATAAATTCATAAACTTTCAATTCAATTCGAGATCTACAGGTTAGCGTTAGGAATATTATACTGATACAGAACAAGTAGGTTATCGACAGAAAAGGGGATTTTAAAAACATGTGATTATCCAATACTGTACGACATTAGTAGCTCACCCACAAAAAATTTTCCAGCACATGATTTTTTTGACAAGGATCAGGTGTAATGTAAAATTAATGAAAGATTTTAGTGTAATAAGCATCATCTTTAGGGTTAGGATTAAGGATAAGGAGGGCATAGCTTATACTAAAATTTTACGAGAATTTTTTTTATTAGAACGCAAAAGGCAGTTTTATAGTATAGTAATAAATAACGAAATATTTTCTTCTAAATGAAGTTCTCAGGATGTTGATTATTTTGCACAATAAGTATAAGCATTCTTTCGAAGCTAGAAATGGTCTTTTTGGTGATTTTTTATTAGGGAAATGCTACATTCTCAAAAGTACTTTAAGCTGTATAAATAAGTTACCTGGGCAATTGTTTTACGTTAGCCAATTATACAAAAGGTTCCCACCACAGGATCTGACATTATTATTAGAAAACACAAAAGCAACCCAGAAAGAGAAGCAGAGTGCACTTTGATGCACACAATAATGTAAATATAATTAAAAAATATCAATAATAATCAAGCATGCCTTATTAAATAAGGTGAATAATGAAAAAAAGAAATAAATAATAGATTGTTCATTTTATTTGTTTAATTTTCTCCCTTCTCTTTAGAGTATCTTACATCAAAGACTTCTGTGATTCTATGGGTTTATAAGCTAATTGTTTAAACGATGTCATTTGGGTTTATAAATTGTACAAGTAATCCTTTTAGAGTATCTTTAAATATTGTCTTTATTATCTTTGCTTATTTTGTATTTTTTACCAATAAAAAACAAATAAAAATAAAGCAGTATCCCTTAAACCGTACATTTTGGCAGGCAAATTTGTCCACTAAAATTATTTAAAAAAAATTTTATGGGTGAAAAAAATTTTTACAAGAATCTTTACTAAAATGGTTAGAATGATACCTGAAGGCTCAGATTACATGCCAAACTATAAAATTTAAATATAGCACATGTTATGTAACCAAAACAAAAGACACAAATTCCAGTTATGCGAAATATGCAACGTTAATATCACGAATTTTTTTTTGTAACTCAAAATTTTTGGATCTTCTGGGCAGATTAAAGTACTACATGCATAAGCGAAGTTAACTATTATATTATGACCTTTAAAATGCATACTAAAACTATTTAATATCGGGTTCGCGATGATACTAAATTGAATTTTTAGAATTACTAATTTTTCAGGATTTTGTTTATCAAAATTAATACATTTGGGATTTTGATCATATGATAATCAGTATATTGAAAATATCATATAGATTAGTTAATTAATAAATTAAATATATGTAATATTCATAAATTAAAACAATTAAATAAAATAAAAAAAAATTTTCAAAAAATTTTTTTATTCTTTGTCTTTGGTTTGTAGAACCGCTTCGCCCACTCATCTAGCTAAAGTTAGCTTAGCAGCTAAAGTTAGCTTAGACCCTTAAAGCCGATTTGCCTACCCACCCACCCAGCTAACGTTAGTTTTAGGCCCATAGGGCCATTTCACCCACCAGTTAACATTAGTAATTATTACTTTAGTTTTCAAGATGAAAACCAAGAAAACAATTTTAATTACTGTTACAACACAGGGGTACATTATATGATAAACACCAAAAATTGCTTTGGTGTGGTGTTTTGTGATCTATATTCAACTCATTTCTGCTTGCTAGCCAAGTACACCATTGACATGCTTCTCATCAGGCTTTCCATACAACCAAGTGGTTTCTAGGCACCAACCATTGATCAGGGAGCTTAAAATGTTTTGTAACTCTGGGTTTTTTTGCTTCCCAGCTTGAACTATTTCTTAATAGATATTCACCTGTATCGTTTGCAAGATCAATAAGCCCCCAAACGAGTTCAATTTGAAACTCTTTATGATCCTGCATTGACCCTAAAATTTTAGTGATTAAATATGCATTAATAATGGCTGTGTCCAATAGCCAAAAGGAGAAAGACATCCAATTGCGCAACGCAGTTTGTTGAGTATTATAATAGAATCGCAGTTGGTCAACGACATCCACACTGTTCATGTGATAATTGTAGTCATTGATTATTTTTTGAATTTTTAATTTTTTTTTGGTTCGGATCCAAATACTGCATGTACCTTTGCTGCATTGGTACTTGTTTTCCTTGGTCGCTGCCTTTCTCTTTCAATTTCCTATTCTTTACCCACGAGACTGTGAATAGTTGTTAGCATTGTGACTAGCCCATTGTCTTGCCAGAAAATAGCCAATATACCATTCACTTCAACACCAGAACGGATATCCCAATCTAACTTAACACCTTTATCTACTTTTACTTCCTTTAGTAATCCTGATGATGTTTTTCGAATGGTTCCACAAGCTCCAATACCGATTTGCCGAAGATGATAAAACAGAGGAATACTAGAAAAGTAATTATTCATAAATATATTGTAAGGAAATCGTTGATATAGAAGTTGTTCAACGAGGTGAAAAACTAGAGACCCAATCTGATTAAGACCATTCAATTTTTTCAAGTTACTCAGGGTGATGTGGAACGTCAGTAGAAAAGTGTAAATGTATCCAGATTCACAAAGAGAAAAAATCTTAAAACCTTCTAGAACTGGTTTATTTTTCATTCGTACTGTATGGATGCTTTTTCCAGAAAACTGAATCATCATCTCATCTACTGAAACATTCGAGCCTTGTGTGTAGTACCATTTTGAAGCATCATGAACATGTGAAAATAACAGTTCTACTTTTTCAAAATAATTTTTTAATATTGATGTGGGGGCAGGAGGAGATACATGAAGAAACCTCTTTATTAATTCAAAGTGTATCAATGGCATTTGCTTTGAAATATGGTATACCAGGAGCCTTGAATCATCATTCCAATATTGGTTAAGGGATGGCAACTTGAAAAGTCCCTGGTAAATGACAAGAGCAACCCAAATGAGAAGCTCTTTATGGATTATGTTCTCCCATCGCCTACCGGTGGTCCCTGCACCTTTTAATGAAGCATATGTATTCGTATTTTCAACTATCGTATCCATCATAGATATGGTAAAAAAAAGTAAAAAAAAATCGATCGGTTTGAAAACACCAACTTGAAGATATGGTGGCAACTAAACAATTGCACAATGCAAGGAACTTGGGTGAACCAATAGTTCAAAGTTAGGTGATGGTGGTGGAAGTTGTGGGCTGGTTTGCATTTTTTTTTGGAGTCACTTATTGTTGTTGTAACATTTTCATCCTTGTTTTCACATTCTGAAACCGAATCATTTAAAAAACGTTGGCGAGACGTTAAAATTGGTACATATTCTTCATTGTCAGAGTGTGTCTCTACATTTTCAAACAAAAGATATAGCAGTGAACTTGCAAACGATGAACTTTTATATGGTGTAATGTTAGACATAATTTTTTTTTTTTGATTTTTTTTTTTTTAATTTATGTTTGGTGGCCTTAAATGTAGGGCGATCATATCCGGGTCTTATCAGGTTACTTAAGCATTTTATCATAATGCATATGAAGGACCGTAAAATGGGAGGTGATTGGTTGTGCGACAAACTTTAATTTTAGCTTAATAATGTAGGA